AAAAAAAAATAAAAGCTCTATATACTTACTGCGTTATCGAGCATCCGCATAAGTGCCTCAAATTCAGTTCCACCGATTCGCCAACGCTTTTCGAGTTTTTCAGAAAGAGCTGTGGTTTCGGTGATCGGAGCCGTTTGTTGCGGTGTGGGTGGTTTTCTTGAGGCTTCGAATATAGCTTTCTTAGATTCTTCAGAAATAAGATTTAAATTATCCAAACCAGCGGGCATTAATTTCAACTGGGTCTCGCAAGCTAGGACCATATTGTAAACATTGAAGAAAGCTTCTTCGACAGTTTCTCCGCAACAGAGAGCACCACGATTAGTTAACAGCATGATTTTATTCATTGGACCAAGATTTCTTGCTATCTTCTCTTTTTCCTCCGGTTCAAAAAATCCACCTATATATTGATGTGTGCTTACCTCTCCTATTACTATACTCTCTTGTCCAATTGGCAACAATCCGCACTTTAATGACGAGATCTGAGGAGACATACAATTAATAAAAATAAGAAATTTGAAAACAGTAGAAGATACGTATTATTTTACTTACAGCAGTAACGGACGGAGTGGTAATATGAACAATGCATTTTATATCGGGTCTAGCGGCGTGAATCGTTGAATGCAATTGAAATCCTGCCACGTGAACCCCAAAATTGGTTGTTCCTTGTTCCACGACCGTTCCTTGCATGTCAACTTTAATCAAACTTGAAGCAGTAACTTCATGATACAACAGACCATATGGATTAACTAAAAAGTGTTCTTGATCTTGATTTAAACGTGCCGTAATTTGTCCACCGACACCTTGAGTCCAACCATAGAGATCAAGCAGTCTAAATACCGCTGCCAACTTGCAGCGCAACAGTTTCTCCCCCTTTGCGTAACCCATACTTTCGACACCGCGTATGTCGTTGATAGGTAATACACAATTTGAATCTGTAATAAAATTATTTAATCTAATCGTTGGACAAAAAACAACCGAATAATTAGTACTTAATGAACTTACTTTTAAACACATTTCCGTTAAATCGAGCACCTTGCGCACCCATCATGTCAGAGATTTGCTGTAGCAGACCTGATGGTCCAGCACCGTCTTTCATTTGTGTCTCAATTATACGTTCTAGTTCTTCCCGAAAAAGTCGTGAATTCATCATCATTTCGACTCGCTTCCTCCTTTCCATTTCCCTCATATCCTACGAAGAAAATGATAATTTTAACATATTTCTTAAATACATTTTATGCAGTACATTGATATGGACTTATTTCACAACGTATCTAAAAGTGAGTAAAAAATTCAGTGTGTATCGAGAACGGCACACGTAGCACAGAATGTAAGAGCAAGATCAGACAATTTTCCTTTATTTTCCCATTTACAAAAAAAAATATCTTTTTCTATATCTTACCGCGTCGATGTCTGCAGGCCGCATTTTACTCTTCTCCTCCTCTGTCAGACCGTCCATTACTCCGTTCGTATGCGGCTCGGTCAATGGTTGTTGTTGACTTGGATCTGCCATTCTTGTTATTTACTGTCCTTTTGTTTCCTTTCCTAAATTATATCCGTTTCCCTCGTCGCTCGCTTCGCTCTCCCTTATTTTTAATCACCGTCGCTATCACTATCACTGCCACTACCACTAGCTACGACACTACCACTGTCACCGTTGCCACCGCCGCCACCACCGCCGCCTCCACCGCCTCCACCACCGCCACCACCGCCACCGCCACCTCCTCCTCCGCCTCCTTCCACCCCTGCCGTTGAATACCGACTAAAACAAAGTGACACACATCGGTAATCATTGTTACATACGTTTCAATATATTTTACAAAAAAAAAGTCAAAGGATAAAATTAAAGCAAAAATACGTAAAAATGAATGTTCTCGATCGGGTATTGCTCTTATCTTTTCAGTCAAACAAACGGGATTCCTTATCTCTCGGTTTTTTTTTTTTTTTTGATCTCTCTGTCTCTGACATAAGAGATACACATCGTGCTTCGTTATCTACGGAGGAGATAATTTTCAGGCGTTTCCTTTCACATTTGAAATGTGAAATGAACATGAGGAAACCGACAGGAGACAGCAAACGATCAATAAACTTCCGAGTAACAGTCAAGTAGAGTAAGGTGCGTCGAACACGTAGATGGTAGGGGGGAAATGGCAAGAATCCTTAGTGCGACTGGAACCGGCGGCTTTTTCTTTTTTTCAAATTCTCACTACGTTTATTTATATCACGTATACTCATCCTTCTAC